GCGCTGGTGCGGACGTCGGTGTGCCCCGAGTGTCCAAGCTTTAGTTGATTGGGTGGGGTTCGCATAGCAAATCCCCGAGGAACTGGCGCAGAGTTTGGGACATTGGGCGACTGAATTTCGGACTTTGGAGGTTGTTCAAGGCTGCAGTTTGTTGCGTTGATTCTTCGCGGCCTTCGATCATCACCTTCGAATTGGGATGTGAAGGACAGGGTTAGCAGCCATGCCATTCCTTCCCACCTCCACCGTTCACTGTTCGCACTCTCTCATCCACTCTCAGCATTTTATTGGGGACGGGCTTCTCTTGTCTCCAGGAAAGCTGGGTACAAGATCCTACCCGCGGCCAACTCCCCAAAGATTGATGGAAGAGACTCAATCAATCTGAGGGTCAATAAGAAAACACTAAAAGAAATGTGAGAGCCTGGCGAGGCTTTTGAAGCGCCGATTCAGCTTACTCCCAACCCGAGACTCGAATTGTTTGGAAGACCCCTGGGGTTGCAAACAATCAAGTATTGCAAAACAACACAGTACCGCAATCTACATTTTGTTGTATCAATCCGAAGCACTTAATCTGCTCCTCCCCTGTTTCGTTAGAATGACAAAATTACCAGTATAGGAGGCTACCTCAATTTCCCTGTGCAAACCAGGAAATAGATTGCGCCCCGTTCAACCAGCCACAGAATGGCTCCCTTTTTGTGGGCTACTTGGAGGTTCTGGCTCGGGATACTTCGGCAAACTAGGGTTTGTCTCCATTTTTTTTGCAACCCTAAAGATAATTGCTTTTTGAAGGGCACAAAATGGAATTCTACAAGAGCACCCAGCATGACTTTCGGGGTCAGCAACATGGGTGCTCCACAAGTACAAAATACCAATGGCCCGCAATCCAAATGCTTCAGTTGGGCGCAGGTCAGCATTTTTGGGTCCGTTAGTCTTGCTTATGGCCCCATGTACCTGGAACCCGCTCGCAGCGATCGATTGGCAGGTGCCATGAGCGCGATCTTGCCCTGCGTGGACTCCCTGCTCGGCATCTGCAACACCTCCGCGGAGCTGCGCGAGGCGGGAGCCGCGAGGCGAATGAGCGCAGATTGGTTCCATTCAAAAGAAAAACGGCCAGGTGAGGAAAAATGGTTGCATTCAATCTTGGTTCCAAAAAGGAGCAGTTGAGAAACGACCTTTTGAGCTTTTGATGACTGACAAAAGTCTCTGCTCAAGCGCCTTCCAGCGGGCGAGACGGAGCAGGCCAAGGCTTGAAGTGTTGTTTTTCCCCTTTCCGCGCCATGCGCCTTCAGCCGGATCTTCGTGCTGCACATGGCACGTTGGTCAATGTGGTTGTGCTCGTCGCCGGACGAGGCACACATGTGTTGGGCATTTTGCCCCAGAGCCGCCAGGCCTGCTGCATCTGCACTGAGGGCCCATGCCCAGATGGGGTCGTTGCCCTCTTGCAGTTTGAGGTGCGACCGGATCTACCTCCACCAGCACAGCCTTGGAGTGATCCACTGCCCAGCCCCCTTTCTTGACCCAGGTCATTGCGTTGTGTGCTGGCATTGCGGCCACGTCCCAAGATGCCAAGCAAGCAGGATTCGTGCCCACGGTTGGCTAGCGGACATCATCAAGCAGGTACACTTCCGTGGACCTTGCTCACATCTTACCTGCTAGGTTGCCACATCACCATCCTGGAATGTGTTGCTGAAGCCCACAGTGGCAGGTACGTGCAGTCCAACATCAAGCGATTCTGTGAGAGCGCCAGTAGTGAGTGCTCCCAAATTGTCTTGCAGCTCTCACAGGTATGGCCTTGCCGTAGGAGCCGATGGTGGTGTGTGATCACCTCCCCTGCCTTAGGTAAGATCCCGCTACAACAATGGATCGTGGATAGTGCAAGGCAATCCATCCGAACCGTGATGCCAGCCATTCCAGATTGGCCAGCAGCAGATGTAGCACAGCTTGAGCTCGATGCTTATGAGCTGAGAAATTTCCATGAAAACTCAGCAGGGCTACAGCAGCTTGAGGTTGATCCAAACCTAGTCTTCCCAACTGCACTCCACTCCTGGGCAAATCAGCTGCCAGGTTGCCAATGCGGGTGCCGAAATGATGGCTTTCATCATGACAGAATTGAAGCCAAGGGTTTTCAGAGGTTGTGGACATTTTTTTTCTGGTTGGAAGGTGATCGCTGCATGGAAGGAGTTGTCTGGCCCAGATACCAACAAGGTTGCCATCCTGTCAGGCATGATGCCACTGGAATGCACCAGCGGCAACGAAAGACTCGACCTTTGCGCTGTGGTCCGATACAGAGCCTCTGGATTTTCTCACAAGTGCATAGCTGGGCCAAAGATAGGTTTGGACTGCCACCGATGCTAGCTTTGCCAATGCAATTGCTAGCCAAGTTCAAGAAAGAATTGGAAGGCTCTGGTATGGCGGACCCACCTGACCCCACATGCTGGGTTGTCGGCCCAGACGCACAGGTTGCAATCCCAGTCCGATTCAGCATAGGAACCACCGTTGGTCAGCTTGAACATGCCAAATGTAAGCTTACCAACTGGGCGCCTTCACATGGAGAAGTCGTTAGTACCACCTCGCAGATGCCCATTGCAACCCATGAGCTCCTCCAGTCGGAGCAACGCATAATTGTGCTTGATCCGTACCATCGCATACAAGCATGACACTGCTGTGCTCCACCAATGGAGGAGCAGTGTCAACCCGCAGGAAGGAGGAGCCGACGACGTCACGCTGGCCACCCTGGGCGAGGTGCTGCTGGAGCCCACCCTGACCACATTAGGCAACTTCCTGGTGCGCTCCAACAGCCAAAGCTCCGTGGCCTCGGCCAGCTTCACGGTGGGAGGAACATTGTGCGCACCTGCACCCTGACGCCGGGGAGACGCTACTCCTTCGGCTGCCGGTACCGGCTGGGCACGGCCTCCAACTTGGTGATGTACGTCAGCGACAACGACTACGTGGGCGTCACCGGCACCTTCCTCGGCGCGGCCGCGCAGGGAGTTTGGAGCACGGCGCGTCTGGACTTCTCGGTGCCCCCGGGCGGAGTCGCGAAGCTGCACTTCGGCGCCTTCGGCGGGTCGATGGTGCAGCAGTCGGCGGGCACGCTGGACCTGTACAGCATGCAGATCAGGGCCTCAGCCTTCGAAGGAGAGTCGGTCTCCGTGACGGACCTGCTGGCCGACTCGCTGGCCCTCACGGGCTCGGCAACTCTGAACGGGCTCACCGCGCAGGGCAACGTGGGCTGCGACCAGCTGCTGTGCAACGACGTGAACTGCACGGACGTTTTCACGACGGGCGTGGACGCCTCGGGCGCAATCTCCTGCGCAGCGCTCACGGCCACCGGCACCGTCGCCGGAGCCACGCTGTTGGGCAGCTCGCTGAGCATCACGGGGGCGGCCAGTGTGGGCCTGCTGAGCTCGGCCACCGGAATCACCGGCAGCACTCTCACCATCAACAACACGGCTAACGCTGGGAACTTCACCACGGTCGGCGACGTGTCCACGGGCACCCTGACGGCCTCAGGCGCAGCAACCACGGCGAGCTTCGCAGCCACCAGCGCCACGCTGACGATCACCGGGGCGGCCTCCGTGGGCCCGCTGGACTGCAAGAGCCTGGACTGCACCTTCACGGCCACGAGCGGCGGAGTGTTGACGGGCAGCGTGGTCTGTGGCGACGCGACGAGCTCGGGCACGGTCTCCGCGCCGCAGCTCTTCGCGTCCAACACGCTCACCGTGACCAACACCTCCGACTTCTCGGACGATCTCTTTCTGACGAAGAACTGGGCGGGCTGGAGCAAGCTGCAGATTTCCAACACCAGGCGGCCGCTGGGCAACCAGAGCGCGTGGGTCTTCCTGGAGCGGGACGGCGGGGCGCACCAGTGCGAGCTCATCATGATCAACGACGAGGCGCTGGTGCAGACGAAGAGCCTCTCGACGCAGCTGTCCCTGACCACGAACCAGAGGAACCCCGGCTGCCTCGTGATCGCCGGCAACACGGGCAACGTGGTCTGCGACACGAGCTGTCGGACAGCAGGGTGAGACGGAGATGGTCGAGGCCGACGTGGCAGAGCTGCTGCAGCTCTTCGACTCTGTGGAGGCCAAGCAGTACAAGCGCCCTGACATGAACGGGGACCTGAGGGCTTCGCCTTGAACGACTTCTCAGGAGCGAAGTGGAGGTGGAGCGACGGCACCGAGATGATCACGCTCGACTACTTGCACCTCACCAGCGTGCTCTGGGGGGTGTGCAAGGGCTTCCAGGGCCGGCTGGACGAGGTGGAAGCCTGGCAGGCCCAGCGGGGGCCGAAGAACCCATAAGAAACATGGCTGACGCCCGCAGACGAACCATCAAGGCCGTCTACGAGGACCGGCTTCGGCAGCGTAGCGCAGACGCTGCAGCAGGCCCAGTCGCGCGACCCCAGCATCTCCAGAGAGGAAGCGAAGGCGTTTCTGGACGGCCTCCGGGTGAACTAGGACCGGCCGCAGAAAGGCTCATGAAACAGCTGCAGGTGGACCTGGCCGACATGAAGGCCTTCGGGGGCAAGCCCTACCTTCATGCTGGTGGCCATCGATGCGCTGACCAAAAAAGTGGGCGCCGAGCCGCTGAAGGACCGTCTTGCGACCACCACCGCGGCGGGCATGAAGAAGGTGTTCCAAGCCCTGGGGGTGCCAGCCAACGTGTAAGTTCAAGGAGCTGATGGATTTCTGCGACATCGAGAAGCAGGTGACCAGGGGCCACGCCTACTTTGCGGAGCGCGCCATCCGCACCATCAAGGAGGCCATGTTGCGTCGCATAGCGGCCAGAGCGGGCCGGCGGGGGCAGTGGCACCTCATGCTGCCCGACGTCTTGAACCAAATCAACGGAAGGAAGCACGCTACCACGCAAGTGGCCCGAACCTCGCCTACGAAATGGCCGAGATAGCTCTGCGCAACATCGAGCGCAGGGCCAAACACAAGGTCGGGGATATGGTTAGGATCAGGGTTAAGCCGATCGAAAGCAGGGGCTCCTACAGGGTCAACGAGATAGCCTGGTATACAGGGTAGCCTCCGTCGAGAGCGGGGAGATGGGGGCGAGGTTTGGCTTGGAGGGGTGGCCGGAAAAGGTGGTGCACAGGGATCTCCGAAAAGTGCCGAAAACGCAGGTCCCGAGCCGCGCGGGCTGGAGGTGCAGTCCCGCCAGCGGAGGCTACAGAGAGGCCCCAGACTCCCCCCTCCTTTTGACTCTACAGCGTTGCCCGCCACTCATCGATGAGCTCGTCCACGTCGGGTCGGGGCGGGGCCCAGCGGCTCGAACGACATTGGGTGCCGATTCTTGTGCGTTTCAGCCAACACATCATACTCACCACCTCAGCAACCGATATGCAGCATGCCGAAGCCGTGCGTAGAGTTGGTCAGGTGCCAGGCCCCGACAGCCTACCACCTGTGGTCCTTGTCCATCCTGCTGCACCACGTACTGGACATGCCCAAGCAACTGATATCAGGACCCAGGCACACTGGTTCCAGTCCCAATCAGGTACCATGCTGGAGCCACAACCGAGTAACTCCAGCAAGCGGAAAACCACCTCGCCAATTTTGCTGCCGACCAGTGAGCGCTGTTGCCACCAGTGCGCCAACTCCACGTGCTGAATCATTGCTCCAATGCGCACTCAGAGCCACCAGCTTGTTGAGACCAACGGACCATTGTGGGCCGATGATGAGTACTTCCATCTTAGGCAGATCATGCACGATGTTGAACACCCAGAGCAGCTCGCTGTCCTTGATCCGCTACTCACCACCACTGCCTTTGAACACCAAGCGCTATTACTATCCTCTGCGCCCGTTATTTCCTGAATTGCCCACCAACGCAGCCACATGAAATGCGCCAGCTGTTACCTGCCTCACCCCATATTTTTGGGGAGCGGGAGAAGCCCATGGAGTACCAAGCAACAAAACTGGGATCCAAGCCATAGGTGTGACACCGATCCAGCAGGCCCAAGCGCAGTGGAAAGCACTCAAGGTTGCAGGATCCGAGCGGATGAACTGCAGGCGCAGGTTGATCATCGTGCAGCCACAGGCCAAGCCGTAGGGCGGAAAAACAAGCGCAA